AATAATAATAATAATAATAATAATAATAATAATAATAATAATAATAATAATAATAATAATAATAATAATAATAATAATAATAATAATAATAATAATAATAATAATAATAATAATAATAATAATAATAATAATAATAATAATAATAATAATAATAATAATAATAATAATAATAATAATAATTAATGATAATAATAATAAAAGTTCCCAAATACTTATAGCTTGTAACAGAATATGGGAAAGATCCGGAAATTACGAGATATGTTGATAAACTGAATTTTTATATACTTCCGATACTTAATCCGGATGGTTTTGTATTTTCTCGCACATCAAAATCTTCTTTGGTATGGTTTTCTTTTTTGGAGTTTTATTGTCAAGAACTGTTTTATTTTCTTGTTTTTTTTTTTTAGCATTCTAATCTGATTTTAGGTAATAATTTCCACCTAAAATAAAGCATTTATTAGTTGTGAGCCTTATTTGTTAATTAAAAGATATGGAAAAAATTGAGCAATTTTAGGTGGACAGTACTATTTTTGAAACAACCAGCATAATTTTTCATGCTTACCAGTACTCCTGGTTTAAGTCGCATTCAATTAGTGGTGAATGTCGAATTAATTAGGACAACAATTTAATTTTCCAAAAAAAAAAACAAATACGGATAGATTTTTATTTCCTGTATTTTTAGATTAGGCATTGGCGAAAAAATCGTGCTCCTGAAAATTGTACCGGTAGTATACTATTCAGGAAAAATTTATGCTGCGAAGGAGTTGATCTCAATCGAAATTATGATTTTGGTTTTCAGCAAACTTTTTATCCATTTAATAATTCATGTTCCGATGAATATCAAGGACCATTTCCATTCAGTGAACCGGAATCACGGTATGTTTTTATTTTGTTATCAATTCTTTTCAAATTAATGAAATTTAATTCATGTATTTCAATCATCAATTTCTTGGTAAAATGAGAATTTAAAATTCTAAAACTTGAAATTTTAAAATTCGAATTTATTTTGAAGTTTTTATTTTCTTTTTTTCTTTTCCTAAATTATTTAGAGCAGTGCGAGATTTTATCACATCAAATGAGTTACGATATAAAACAGATGCAGTTATAAGCATGCATACTCATGGACAACTTATCATTCTTCCATACAATCATCGCCGTAAAGCATATCCTATCGATTATGATGATTTGGTTTAACTTTAAAACTGAAATTTTATTTCTTTTTTTTTAAATTCTTTTTTTCGTTATGAAATCAGAAAATTTGTTTATGAATTGGAAAGAATTCATTTGTGTTCTTAGATAATTTGTCAAAATAAAATTTCATAAAATTTATATCAAAATTCTGTTTCTAACATTAAATTAATAAAATTTGCATAAAAATTTCATTCACAATTACACTGACTGTTCGATTTGTTACAGATGGCTGTAGCTCAAAAGGCAAAAAATGCAATAAAAAAACATAACGGACATGATTATAACATTGGTACTGCTGCTGATATGCTTGGTAATATTTGCAGTAATTATAATAATTTCAATAATTTTAACTTCAGAAGTTCTCGTTGGATTTTAAAAATTCATTTATTTCTTAAAAGGTCTGGAAATCTCAGAGGATGTTATTATCATCAGTTTATTAATGATAATAACAATAATAACAA